CAAAGTTGATAATCAAAATACAACAAACAGAAAGTAGACAAAAAACATCTGAAAGCATATACAAACTTTAGGAAAACTTTCAAAAATGACAGTAGTGCTTACTACACTGTTGCCTTCATCTTTCTGATACTTTGGAATAGAAGTATTTGAATTCTAATAATGAATGTCACTAATTTCAACTCTCAGTGTGGGGGCTAAAGGTAAGCCCAGAAAAATGCTATTTGTGAAAAATATTAATGCTGCTTCTGATTGTCTTTGGACTGCTGAGTACTGTGAACTGGACAGATACATTCCAATCCTCCAGGAGATATTCTCTTGCCTTGACAAAGAGGCCACTGACTTTCTAACCTTATCCCATGGTGGCACATCAAAAGATCCTTTCCCTCACTAGAGAGAGGCCCATCTTTCGATTTGGGAAAAAAAATCCAGAAGCAATTCTCATCACTTCACAGTACTACCATCTGCCCTCAGAACTGTTCCTCTCCATGTATCAAATAAGGCAAGAAAATATATGAGAATATAGTCTGTCCCTAAAAATACTCTCTTAATACAAAACAAGTAGTAGTTAAGTGACTAGGTGTGGAATTTTCTAGATTTCAATATCTGACATGAATATGCTCTTTACTCAAGCTTCTAACTTGCAATTTCTTATTCCTTTATAAAGCCAGAGTGGGGAAAGAGAAATCATATTATGCAGCATCACACCTTGTGTGCATTTGAACACCTTGCTTTGCCACTTGCCATAAAAGAGCAAACAACAATAGTAACAGACTGTCTTTGTCTTACTCAACAGGAAAAGTTGCAAATTGGGTAACACAGATATTTGCTAAAATCAAATAAATTATGAGAATAAGGAGTCTGAAATAGTCCAGCAAAAAGCAGCTGGCACTTCTAGACTGTTCTGCCCATTACTTATTTGGCACTTCTACTCTGCACCCCTAATAACAGAAAGTAATAGAAAGTCAAGTGACTTTCCCAAGCTGATTCCTTGTTTCAAGTCCATTAGCCTTTCCTGCTTATTTCCAATCTCTACCATTACGACTTTTCAACAATTTCCTTGTCCAGCACATCTTATACTTCTTGACTCCCATCCTCATATCTCACATACAGTTCTTATATTTTATTTTCCAACCATCTTCCCTTCTACACCTAGACTTCTTCATATGCTGCCCCTTATGCATATTTTTTCACTCTGAAGATTCCTCAACCAAACTCAGTGTTCCTTCTTTTCCCTCGGGGTTCCCTGTACAGCCAAGAGCTGACACCTTCACACCCTGAACCTTCACCAGACCGGTTCCTCCTTACCTGTTTTTCCCTGCCCTACTGGTTTGCAGTCCAGTTCACCTACTTTTTTCTTCCCAGGCTTCAGGTGCCATCCTCCTTCTCCCTACCCCCAGCTCCTGATTGCTTTCAAAACCTACCATAATTTCTCCCCTTCTTCTGTCAAATTCCAGGGCCAATCCCATTTGATCCCATACTCCTTGTTCCAACCCACTGTTCAACAAGGCCAAGCTTTTTTCCTGTGCTCAAATTATGCAGCTTCTAGGCCTCAGAATTAAGATGCTAATGAGGACACAGGACAGAAAAGCTCCCGGACTTCAATTACCATACCAGAAGTCCAGCTTGCAGGAAGTTTCTGCAAACCCATCTGCTAAAACCTAGGTCTTTACCCAGCCCATACTGATCTTTTAATTGCTTACAAACTGGTCCAAATAGATGATTTCTCTATGCAAAAACACTTCCACACCTTAGAAGTTTAAAATCCTCACTCCAAAACATGATTTAAATCTTTAAACAAACAAGACAACTCACATTAAGAAGTTGAAGGAAACACTCCCTCTCCCCTAGACTTGTTCCAGAAAAACAACACTGTATTTTAGCTGAAGTTTCCCCACAGAGCAAATCTAGCAAGACTCACCAGCTTGAAAAGCTTCTGCCACACTCCAAGAATTTTGGCTGAGTTCTAATCAACTTGAAAAGAGTCTTGTACCAAACAGCAAGAGTAATAAGATCCCTGGTGCCACAAGATCATCAGTATCAACCACAAACAGAGTCAGTCCTTTGTAAGATCATTTACAATCTCCAGTTATTGACCAGAATCTCAATGTAGCAAGTACTGTGCAAACGCAAGATAAAAAGGCAGTTCGCTGCCTTAAAGAACTTACAATCTATTAAGATAAAAGACAGCTACTACCACGAGATGAAAACGTGCACTGAAGAGCTCCATTCCAAGACCTACAGGATCTGCAAGACAACTGTCCCCAATCTATTCATTACACACAATACACACAGAGCAAGACAGTATCTTCCCGAACCTAACCAGTGATTTGATACTGAAGATCCTTCTCAAATCTGCTCATTTTATCACTCTTCTACCTCTTTTTTCTTACAGAATACCATAAGGTACTCATTTCTGAGTCCTTTATCCCTTACTTCTTATAATTTTGATTGGCCTCCCTTGCCCTCATCATCTTCTCTTTCCCTAACTCCTAAATCCTTTATCCAGTGCATTTCTCACCTCAACTTCTCCAATTAGCATTTCTTTGTCTTCTTGGCTTCAATGGGAAAACACTGGGGGAGTGGGGGAAAGAAGGGATTTTTGTTTTGTTTTGTGGGGGGATTTTAATCAAATAATTTCGTCAAATCAAATTCACTAGCCAAACTACACAAAAGGCTGCGAAATCTCAGGAGGAATGCTGAAAAGAAAAACAGACTACTGAGTGCCAGCTACACAGAAAGAGGAGCCTGTGGGGATGCTTAGAGACTACTGCCCATAGGAAAGCTTGGAGGTGCTGATCCTCAGAGCCTTTGATCAAGTGCAGCAGGGCCCGAGGTCTTACTTAGTCCAGTTCCTCCTGGACAGAAACAAAACCACTTGAACACAGAAATGGGGGGCTGAACTCTGTCACTCCATGCCAAACTCATAAAGCTGAGGTACATACGCTGCAAGCAGGTTATTTTGCCCTCCACCTAAACCACTTTTTACCAAAATACAGCTTCGGTACCATTTCACTGCTACTCTTACCTTTCTTTCACAAACTTTGGCAGCAAACAACTAAACCTGATCCTTTGCTACTTTGCTGCTGCCCACGGGAATCTGAATAGCTGCAATGAAACCCAAAAAGACCAGTCACCTTCCACTATGCAGAACCCAGGCATCTCACTAAAATAACAAAAGTAGCCTATTCCCAACCAGAGATCAACTCTGCAGGCACAGAACTAGCTCCTGCTACTTGAATTCTGTACAAACTACTGATAACACGCTCATGAAACCATCATGTCTTTTCTATCAGCCCCAACGTAAATGTCTCTCAGTTTGCTCTTAACCAATGTGAAAAATAATTCTACGATTAAACCTTGGTGTGAAATATTTAGACAAAGTTCCAAGCAACATAAGGCATTTCAATTATTTCTTCAAAACATGGAGTCATTATTTTAGCAACACTATATAAGTTGAACAGTGACTCAATTTTAACACTGTAGTAAATGGCTAAATCTCTTCTGTTATTGTTTGTACGGAAGATATTCTACGAGACAAAACTTCATACTCTGAAATTTAATGGAAAGGACGACATGCAGAGAAACAACAGACACATCGTGGTGTCATCAGTTACCTTTACAACGCACTATTAAGTGCTAACAACTATTAAGCTAACAACGTATGTATGCATTTTAATGTAGAAAAATTTGCTATCTAAAGCAAACAAAAAGAATTTAATACCTCAGCAAAAGAATATGTGCATGCATAAGTACGTCCAAATAACGAGACAAAAGATCTTGATCCGGTAGGTAAATATTTAGGCCATTTAAACAGTTATGTATCGTCGTGCAAGACTACAGGAATCTCTCAAATTACTACAGTCTTTAACCCAGACTGTGCTTAAATGTTTCTGTGGCCTGCTTAACATTCCAGGCATACTTCTGGCAAGGTAGCTCTGGCTGAGGTTCAAACTGTCCTTGTCCAACTTTCACTTACTATAAAAACATTGTTTAATATAGAAAAGTATACACAGAGACATATGTTTCTTATTTCGCAGACACCTAGAATACTGACACTTGTGTTCAACAACTCCGCGTGGAAATTTTTAGGTGAACGCTTTAAAGCGAGGTCGCTTTCACCGGGCAGCACCCGCAAAAGGGAGCCCACGTTTCCACCAGATTTCAGCTGCGACGCTTAAATACTGCTTATAACGCAGTTCTGCTAAAAGCCGTAAGACCTGCCCATATTTATTTACCCTAAACGAGAAGAAAAGGCCTAACTCGGTGTCCCCAGCACCGCCGGGCCGTGCAGACGCTGCCCCGAACACCACGCAGCAGCAGATTTTTGCTGCTAATTTGCAGCAGACCGCGTATTTGTCAAATTAACTGCAGGAATTTCCCGGTTTGCTTACCTCCACGCAGCGTTATCTTTTATGAGGAGGTAATCTACCAAATTACTCCAGCATGCCTCCAGCCTGCTGCTGCCAATTAGTTCAGCCCGGCTAATAAATCAGGATGGCCAAGCCGCTCGGTTACAGCGGGGCTGCTCCGGTATGCGGCGAGTACAAACACGGGCGGTGTCACCGCTCCTGCCTCCCCATCTCCCCCTGCACTGAGACCATGCTTGGCCAGAGCACCCATTGCGGGGCGGGAAGCCTCAGGGTTTTTTTGTTTGTTTGCTGCTTTTTTGTTTGTTGTTTTGTTTTTTTTTTTCCCCTACATCTAATTTAACATTAAGGCGGCTGGCGGCAAACCCATCAGCGGCAGGGGTAGGGGCTCTCCCCCTCAGGTCCCCCCACGATGGGCCGGGGAGGAGCAGTGTGGCAGAGCCCCCACCCCGGGCCGCCGTCCCGCTGCGGGGCGAAGCCTCGAAGCGCCCCGCCGGCAGCAGCACCGGCGGCCCCACCGCCCACACCCTCCCGGCGGACGGGGGAAGGAAAATGTCGCCGACGGGCCCGGCCCCGGCGCCCAGCGAGGTGAACCGGGCTCGATCCCTCCTTCCCCCGGGATCTCCCTCGTACCTGTCCCGGGGATCGATCCACGAGGTCTGCCGGGTGTTGTGGTCGATGTAGAAGACTCGCCCGTCGAAGTCCCTCGCCTCCTCCCAGCCGGCGGGCAGCGGCAGCTCCGAGCTCTCCCGGCCGCGCTGCCCGCCCGCCGCCGGCCCGCCGCCCTGTCCCGCCGCCTGCTGCTGCCGCCGCCGCCGCCCGCCGCTCAGCCACGGCATGGCCGCTCCGCCGCCGGGCCGCCGCCGCCCCGCTCCGGCCGAAACCCGCTCCCCGCCCGCCGCCGGGGCAGCTCCAGTCCCGCCCGGGCCGCGGCCGGCCGCCGCCTCCTCCTCCTCTTCCTCCTCCAGCACTAACAGGCGGCCCCGCAGGGAGCGGGACTCGGGCGGCTCCGGCTGCGCCGCGCCGAGCTCATCCTCCCCCGCGCCAGCCCCGCTCCAAGCCGGGACCAGCCCCGCCGCGCTTCCTAACCCCGCCCGGGACCTGCCCCGCGCCGCCGCGGCTCCCAGCCCCCGATCCCGGCCCGAGCGCCCCCGCCCCGCCGCTCAGCAGCGCCCCGCCGCCGCCTCCCGCCCGGCGCCTGCCCCGGCCATCTTCCCTCCCTCCGCCCCGCCCGGCCGTTCCCACGCCGGGGCCGCGGAGCCCTCCCGCCCCGGCCCGCTCTGCGGGGCACGGGGGAAGCAGCGGGGCTGAGCCGGGGCGGCGCCCCGCGGAAGCCGGGCCCGGACCCAGGCACGTCGGCGCTGGGAGAGGGCGGCAGCCTTCCGCCCGGGCCGGGGGAAGGAGGCTGAGGCCCCGTCGGGGCCCGTCCTGCCCTGCCTCGGGGCCTGTGCCTCTGCCACGGCCCCGTGGGGGGATGAAGGAAAAGGGGAGCCATCCTTGCCCCTCGCTGGGTCGTGCATCCCCCAGTGCCCGCCCGAAAAGCCTCGGAGGTGCTGAGCAATCTGGATGTGCACAGGGACACGGGGAAGGGACGGGGGTCTGCTGCAGAGCCTTAAAAGATGATGGAGGAGAGGTGCTGGAGACCCCACGAATCACCGAAGTCATGCTGTATCCATGCTCGGATGAAGGAGAGTGGAAAATTGTACATCTGGCTTGCTTGACATCTCAGCCTGGTCCCTTAACCCCATGCTGTAGAGCAGAAAGCAGCTGTGTCTGATTTGACCTGAGCCTGCTAGAGACAGCAGAGCAGAGTTCCAGCTACCATTTAGAACTAAATTCCCCAAAACTTAATTAAAACAGGGTTAAAAGTTGGCCTGTGGTATTCCATGCCTTTGCAGGATGCTGCCTTCAGCTAAACCTTTGAAAATCTGGACATAAAGAGTTAAGATACTGCAGGATAAACTTCTGAAAACTAGGAAAGGAGCTAACAATATATTCTCAAACAATCTTAACTCAGCCCCCTGAAATTGGCAATACCCTGCCAGGGATTATATTGCAATTCCAATTATGTTCCACTTGCATTCACCGTTTTAAGTTACATCTCTATGAACATTAATTGCTGCAGCGTGGTTATAAGCACAGGAAATTAGAGGACTTTTGCTCCTGACTTTTTGGGCTTTTCTCTGCCACCCCATCCCCCACAAACCAGTGGTTATCCAAGAGCAGTGCAGGAGAGAAGCAGTATAGATAATAGAGCAGATCTGACTTTCTGCCTATGTTTTGTAGGTTATTTCAATGGTAGTAAACTGTAGTCTTCTTACCAGGGCTACTTGCAGCGGTGAGAGGTGATATGAGAGTAATAGGTGGGTTTAGTGATGAAAGCAAAGTGGTGTAGGAAGCTCTGAGGACAAAGGTGTAGTAGATTAAAAATGTTGTAAAGGTGTAAAATTTAGCAAATGTGAGGTTGTAGATCTCATCATCAAAAGCATATCAGCTTATGTTTAGATCAGCTCCTCTCAACAGAGAGTTTACTTCAGCAAACACCACAGGCTGTTTCATGTGATCCCAAGAGTTCAGCACTATCTGTAGGAGCAAGGTGCTGCTTGTGTGCTACATATGATTTTAAGGAGTATTTCAAAGAGGGCAAAGTTAAGGCACAGTACAAACGCTATTTGTTGGTGGTTGCAGTTTCTATTATTTTCAAGTATATCTCCCAGATTTTCAGAGGTTTTGTTTAGCAAACATAGGTATTCTCAAATGGCCCATGTCTATATTAACATTTTGGGAAATTGGATATTTTGTTTCAGAAATTACCTTCCCTAAGTTACCTTAGCACAATGGAAGTACAGATCAGCACCATGCCAAGACACTAGGCTAGTTCATAATACCTTGAAGCAGTAGAGCCAGGATGCTATAATAATCCACCAAATCTAATTAACCCTGCTAAGGATATGTACAGCACTGCCCTCCGACATGGGCTAGTTCTTCCTCATCAGTCTCTGGAGTCCCAAAAGATGATCAAGCTTCAGTGAAGAACCTGTAAACAGAGGTTGCTGAAACGGTGTGGGACTGACCATGGAGGCAGCAAAAAGGGGGCAGGGAGCTCAAGACAGCAGTGAGCAAGAGGGGAAATGGCAAGATTGAGTGTGGAACATTTCATTCAGCTAATAGCCCTTCAACTAAATTCTTGTCTTAACTTTGGCAAATTGCTCCAAGTTAGAGCCAGAAAAGGACTTGGCTGGGTTGCAGTTTCTCAGGGAGAATTATGATGCACATGTTCCATGTAAAACATGAGCTGTATGTCCAGTGTGTCCTGGATTTCATGGATTCATTATGAAAGCAGTTGAAGATGCATATGCTACTATGTAAAGGAGAGGTACAAGATTTTCAGGTGCATTGTAGCTGCTTCTGCAAGTGGCAGGTTGCCTCTTCCTAAATCTTGAACAAGATTCTGCCTGGACAAAGTTTGTAGGCTAAATGTGAGAACATGTGCTAAAAAAACTTAGATTTAAAATGTTCCTAGACTTCAGATCTAACTTTTAAGCTGTCTGTATCTAGAAAAATCATTAGCTTCAGTTAGGAGCTGAAGCTTCTTAAATGCACATGAATAAAGGTGTTGAAAAACCTGCTTCCAAGAGTCCAGCCAATATAGCTGCCTACAGGAACCAGTAGGAAATGATAGGGCTAGCACTTGCCTCACAAGAATAGAAACTCCCTCTGTCTGCAGTGCATTCATGCCGAGATGCCAGGCAGGAACTCTCAATTATTCTCCAGGCCAGAACAGTACCCTTCCTCGGATGTTACCTCATCCTTCTGCCCATTCCTTGTGAGGAAATGAACAAAGCATTCGGGAGCCAGGGGTTATTTCTGAGTAACATTAAAAGGCAAGAAGAGAAGAACCTGAAAAGGTCACTGTAGTTTTCATGCCAAAGTACTAATTTGTAATGCATTTTGTGCCATCCTTACCCTGCAATGAAACCCTCCCAGGCCTGTATTGCAGCTCACTCCCTTTCATTTTCCTTCCTCTTCAATGTCTGTCATACTTCATAAAGTGTGACAGGGTAAAAGAAAAAAAAAGGGACAGAGAACCTGGTGCACCACAGCATATCTCTTGTTTGGGTTACGGAAAGAAACCACTCTGCCAAACAAAGAGATCCTGCATAGTATGGAACAGGTAATAACACAGAAGATCTTGACTTAAAATAGATAAAGGTCTATTTTAATATTCAATGCTTGCAGTGTATATTATAATCAAGCTGCACAAATGGCAATAAATCACATTATATGTAAAGCTATATCTACAAAGGTTTACGTCTGTCCCTTGTCTCATCTATATCTTCTCCAGATATACATAATACACATTTCAATGCTCACATATTTCACACACCTTCATTCCACACCTGTTTTCCTTTCCTTCCACTCTTTTCCACCCACAAACATTGCTCACACATTCACTCATTCCTCAGGCACACCTATGCCCATTAACTCAAAATTAAATAAGCAGCTGTTCTTCATGTGCCCTCCCTTGCCATCTTCAGTGTTTATAATCACAGGTTCTACACATCTTCTCTGTTAAACATGCTCTTATATCGAGGTTCATAATTGATATCACATTTTCCATAGAAAATGTAGATAACATTTCCCACTGTAAGTTGTAGATAACAAGTTCCAACTTTTCTGCTGTCCACAGGAAAAGCCCTTAATTCTGCATAAAAATCCCAACCTCATTTTGGCACTCCACTTCTTTCTTACAATTGCTGGAAAATGGCAGCCAGTCAGAACTGATGTCTCATTGTGTATAGTAACTCCATCCCCATCTTCTGATTGTGAGCTCTTATTTGCAATTTAGCTCCCATGTCCAAGATCTTCCAACCTGTGAGGGACCTTTATACTGTTTTGATACCTAAGTAAAAATTTTCACTTCTCTGAGATCATAGATGTCTTCTGGAACAGCAGAGCAAAGGCTCCTTCATCATCATTGTCCCAGTAGCTACCTATTACACTCATCCTGCAATTTGGGGCTTCTGCTTTTCCCATATCCAACAGAATAAAATCATGAGAGACTGGGACATAATTTCGTATTAGCTCTGTCCCTTTGTATCTTTTCTGTTCATTACACATACACGTGTATGTAAAAATATAAATATAAATGCAAAGATAAATTAGAGATAAGAGGACATAGAGATAAGTACACACCTACACATGTACACATATACACAGAAAAATAAATTGTAGGGACCGTCTCTCCAAACCAAATAAATATGCACATTGCATATGACAATCTAGCAGCTGTTTGAATGGCTTCACCGCTGAGAAATCTGGCTCAGGGGGAACCTCCCCTTGGGCTGCCATACAGAGATTTAAGCATCCCCCAGCGTGGTGGAAACCTTACTGGTGGCCCCGCTTTTGCAGCCTCAAGCTGTTGTGGCATCTGAGTTCCTTCAGAGGGCAGCTGGGCAAAGCAGAGATCTGATACCTGGGTACATAGAACCAGGTGGGACACTGTCCCTTCCATAAGGATAGAGATGAAGACAGTAGGGGAACTGGGCAAGCACCAACCCCCATGGATTACGTAGAGGTTCAGGGATGGTGACAGATGTTGTAGGAAAGATGATCAGCGATCATCGATCCACTTCAGGGGAAGCAAAAAGTAGCAAACCCTCAACTCTTGCTTGCTATCAGCAGCCAAGAGCAGGGCTCCAGGAACAGATGGTCTGTTGATGATCATCCTCTGGCTCAGATGTAGGTGTAAAAGGGTGC